GACACAGGAACGCATTCTTTGTAAGCAGATCCTAATAGTTCCTCTTTTATGTACATTGCTAGGTATTTATTTTATGACAGAAATAACTCCACCCAGCATCATATTGGCTGAATGAAATCTTATCAAGTGTCTTACTAATTCTGGAATGTTGTGTTTGGTGCCATGTCACACTTATTCACAAAATATATGCATTTTGAAGCATTTTTGCTTTCAAAAAACATTTGTAAGGTGAAGTCGTCTTGTATTATACCAGAGAAGCGTCCACAAAGACATTATTCCTGTCTTCCTCTGAACCAGGTTACAACTATTTGTTCAATTCTTAGCTGATTTTTCTTTACATGTATGAATGATTCTGAAGATATTATTTTACACCTCATATATTCACATTCTTATTTTGTGGGGAAAAATTGTGCGTGCTATTAGGTCATATCTTTTGGCAAATCAGCAGTATTTTTTCAGTATGCAGGGCTGTGTAATCTTTTATTTTCATATTATAATTTTTTCTGTCTATTTTAAGCTGTTTGAGGCCCATTCTGATGGTCATGTGACGGTACTCAGCAGTCTGATTCCTCCAGTAGCAGCACGCTACCTCCTCCTGAAACCCCAGAAGTGGCATATAAGGGCCTCTGCACTGGTTCAAGTGCTGGGCTGCCCTTCTGACTCCCTCAGACCCCGTTCCCACGGAGATGGTGAGGGTCTGCCCCAGAATCTCTTTCAAGTTCCTTTATGCCACATAAACTTCAGTTTAAATATTTTTCCTAGTGCATATTGACAATACAAGACCATTATATTGGTCAAATTCCAGGCGCACTGTTGTAAATCTTGTAAGAATGAATTGAATTCTTAGTCTTTTAAACCTGTGATGAATTGTCTACATTTTTTAAAACAGAATTGAATACTGGGAAGGCAGTTCTCGTGGAGACTGTGCCTCTAGACACACTCCCCACTGAAGGTCCTGTTGTCACAAGAAGCTCAGGTGAGGTGAATTTGTGAGGAAATCTGCTAATATGATTGCTAATATTAACATAATGTGTAAACTCATAGTAGATTTGTTTTTAAAGACTGAAGCTTTTATTATTATTTCCCTTCAGGCCCCAGTCAAGCAGTGATATTAGTGGCAGGCATGGTTTTGGGAGCCGCTCTGTGTGTGGGTTGTCTTTTAGCTGGGCTTATTTGGTGGAGAAGGTAACACACTTTCAACTGAAAGAAACTTGCACTGACTGATCTTAAAATATGTCAGTGCCTTTGTTTTGTCTCAAGATGCACACCAGTAATGTTTTTTTCTAAGGCATGTTTATAAAAACTACTTAAATGTCCTAATTGACCTATTGCCTAATCCTGTTTTAACCTAACCCCTCTCTATGAAACCAGGCCTTATTGTTCCCGATAAAGAATTACTTAAAAAAAATGTTTTATTAAATCAAGTACTGTTACAGGTTGTCAGAGCAACCTTTATGAACAAAACATTGGAAATTCCATAACTGTTTTATAAGAAAATGTTATGCAAGTTGTTATATTAAATGTTATTTTATCTTAATCTGTGGTTTGCAAAAAAAAATGTATTTACATTTTTTTATTTTAAATCAATAGCATTACATTTTAATTAAATATTGTATAATTTGTTATGCTCTATTGTATTATTGATTGTATTAATCTATACTCAATATTTGGACATGCTTTTGTATTACTTTTTTAATAAAAAAAATATACTATTGTTAGTTATATTAATGTTATGTCCCCATGCTATATTTGGTTTAATTTATTAATATAATTTTTATTTGTATGGTATTATATACATTTAAAAAATTTTAAATAGAAAATAGAATTGTATTATGTCCTTTCTTTTGATTTTGGGGTGAAATATGGCCCGTACATATTCTTGACTGGGTTTGTGATATTTACCTATGTTTTTATTTCAGAAAAAGAAATGCACAAATAAAGAAATGCTGTGTTGACCAAGGTAACCTTTTGCTCTGTATCTCTAGCACTGTTTTTTTCCATGTCTCCATATGTTGTTGGTATTTCCTGACTGACTTTCTTTGTCTCTGCTTAAGGCTGTCAGGGTTTCCACGGGAAGAAGCCTCTATGCACAAACCCAGAGCTTGTATCTTACCCTCTGGTTCGGAACATCCACGATGCTCTTCCCAACCCTCCTCTCAATGGTAAGACATCCACAGGGCTTTTCAACCCAGTATAGCAATGAATACCGAAATTCATGAAGGAATGTTTCAAACGACAAACGAGACAAGGCAGTGTTTGTCGATAGGACGCCGCTGGGTACAACAGTTCTCAGAATCAGATCAACAGCCCTCAGACATCGCAGTAATATATAGCAGTGAATAAGAGGGTTAATGTGGCTCAAACAGCAGGACGGAAACAGAGAGAAAGCCAAGTAATCATTCTGACCCATTTGTTCCCTCGCCCCACTCTGTGTGCTTTTGCTCAGCTGAGCTGCCAGTGCAACTCAGAAGAGACATGACAAGCAAATGGCTTTCATTCTGAGCTCATTCCTCCATGCGCACCTGCCCAACAGTTGCTCATTGGCAGTTGCTCATTGGCTTTCTTTCGTTGGCGGTGCTTCCCTGAAAGGCTTCTATAATTGGAGCCCAAATTAGGGGCATTCAAGTCAGAAGAACACCCTCTGGTTCTGGTTCTGGCACCACCCACTGGCCAACAGACCCTTCAGTAAGGGGTTCTGGGACGAGTTGGACAGAGGGTCAGTGGTCTGGACAATCAGAGTCCTTTCTAACGTCGCTTCAATTAAAACCGTTTCGCCCTCTTAGCATTCCTGCAGAGTGAGTGAAGGACTGAGAGAAGGAGAGGAAACGTGGGGCCCCTTTCATAGCCCAGCTACTGTTGGACACAGTGCAGTGGGTGAGCAGTGGGAACTCGTTAATGCCTTGATTTGAGTTGGCTAAGGGAAAAGGCAGCTCAAGGGAGGGTTTATTCACTGTAACATGAATATGATTGGTCGATATTTGAGGTGTTTAAAGACTGTTATTTTTAATTTAATAATTAATAACAAAAATATTTTCAATTTAATCTTAGATTTTTACACGTATGTAAAACATTAAATATACAAGTTAGACATTTCTGATTCTATTTCATTACTTTTTATAATGAAAGAAAATGTTACGTTTGTTGTTACAATTAATGTTATTTTTCCTTACTCAGGGGTTTGCAGAAATTATTTTATAATTTTTTTTATATTATCATTAAAATCAAATATATATATTTATATTTATATAAGATGTATGCAATGATCTATAATTGAACAGTGTTTTTAATATAATTTAATTTGAAAAATAAAAATTTTTATAAAATAAACAATGTTAGTTTTATTATTTAAAAATAAAATTAAAATTAAAGAACAAAATACATATATATAAATATCAATATAATTGCATTTTAATTAAATACAATTTAAAAAAATTTGTTATTAATGTGATAACTGGAAATTATCTTTATTTTATGCCATCATTATTTTTTATTGAAAATCTTATGTTAATTATCTTGTAGAATTCTTAAAATTTTACATTTTTAATTTTATTTAATTTAATAAAAATAAAAATCCCAAAAAATGTAAAATGTGTAAAATACTTCTATAACAGAGGTCTTCAACCCTGTTCCTGGGGATCCACTGTCCTGCAGAATTTAGCTATAACCCTAATCAAACTAATCAAGCTCCTCAAGACTGCTTGAAAATAAACATGCAGGTGTGCTGAAGCGAGGTTGAAAATAAACTTTGCAGGACAGTGGGTCCCCAGGAGCAGGGTTAAAGGCCTCTGTTCTATAACATTTCTCCATTGTTTCCAGACTATGCTGAGCCTGATGTAGTTGCAGGTGGGCAGATGATGGGACTCACATTCCGCCCCCCACTGGAAGAGGGCTACACTGTCCCCTTCACCCTCAACCACTACGACACCCCTGGACAACTTCCCGAATACGCCGATCCCTTACCTGCCGAACCAGAATATGCAACACCCTTCAGTGAAATGCCCACAGACTTAACACCGGTCAGCCGACAGAATCAACCTGTGTGTCGATCCGCACAGGGCACAAGAGCAGAGCTGAGCCAACAACAATATGACTGCCCTGCACACAGAGTGATCTCAAACGGGTACTGTACTCCAGTCTCACATAGTACTAGCCAACATAAGGCTAGCGTGATCTACTTTGAGCCCCAGACAGTAGAACCACTATTGCATACCTACCATGAGCCACTTTGAGCCAACGTGGCATCTCCTACTGAAGCCAGTTTGTGATGTTTGTGCTGTTACACTGCTGTTTATAACATAACTTGTGTTAGATAGCATCAGGGATCAGCATGTGACAGGAAATGATTATTTGGGTGGTTACAAAAATGTAGGATATGGGAGAAGTGCTTTTATAAGGAAAGCTGTATTGTTCAGGTGACCACTGAACTGGTGTATTTTTATTTAATGTAAATGTGGGTGTGTTTTATATATGTAACTAATCAGAATAAACTCCAAGAGGATTTGTGTCTGTGTGATTTGAAACCACTAAAGTATTCAAAAACATTTTACATTTTTTTGTAGGTATATAATAAACCTGTGACATTTTTCATACCAAATCTGAAGTGTTGTTAAAATACTCTTCTGTTGTTTTGCGTACTATTAAAACTAATTTAAAAGCTCATTAAAAATCTCTCTACATACACACACACAAAAGGATATATGCAATCTTCAGAGGTTTTTGAGAAATACTTCCTTTTCTTTTATAAACCCCGCCTGTCACATAACTCCCATTTCCGTGTCATATAAACCTGTAAGACAACTTTCTATTAACCAGAAAAAAAAATACACAAATCGAATCAGCACTGGAAGGTTTGACCCCTACCACATTCAAACAGGAAACCTTTCTTCAGAAACCCAACAGGTACAGGTCTGAAATGTAAAACTTGAAGAATTGTGGATTTAACTCTGCATGTAATTGAAATGTAGCCAACTGAATATCAATTATAATTTGATCTTTTCTCTGGTCAAATCTTTAAGGATCCTGGAGCAATGTCAGCTGTCATGAATGGTACTGAGTGCCTGTACGGTTTTAAAATCATCATGATAGGTGACGGTAATGTGGGCAAGTCATGCATACTGTATAGATACTTAAATGGCTTGTTTCCAGAAAAAATAAATTGCACCATTGGAGTGGACTTCTGCAATCACATCCTAGAGGTGGAGCCTGGCGTGAGAGTACAGCTACAGATTTGGGATACGACTGGTCATGAAGCATTTTGGTAAGCAGTGAGAACTCACACAGGTGTGTGGTACTCGTTAACACACCTTTATTTACTTTATTACTCTTGTCAAAAATGAAAGCAGTCATTCTCCAAAATGATAACACAGTATAATGAAGACTATATTATACTGTATTACAAAAGCTAGCTTAAAAAATAGTTTACTTTCATATTTAAAAAATAAATATAAATGTATAAAAAATAAAAGCACTTAATGCACACTGGTTGTTTAACCTCATGAACTGTTGTGTGTTCAGGAATCGTCAGCTTATCCAGCCTTACATTCCTCATTCAGCTGGATGCCTGCTGGTGTTTGACCTGGGCAATCGTGAGTCTTTCAGAGTCATTAAGCATCAGTACACAGAGGTGTGTAATAGAGTGAATCCATACACTGTCCTCTTTGTACTTGTGGGACACAAGTGTGACAGAAATGAACGAGAAGTGAATCAAGAGGAGGTGGAACAGTTCGCAAGTGAATTGGGAGCGCCGTACATTGAGGCCTCAGCCATAACGGGTCACAATGTGGCAGAAGCTTTTGAGCTGTTGGCCCGGCGCATTTATCAGGGCTATCTGAGTGGAGAGGTGCGCTTACATGAACGCTGGGGCAAGATCCATGAAAACAAAACCAACAAAGATGAGCCAGCTGGAAACAGCAAATGCAGTGTCTCATAAAGTTAACATGAGACTGCATTTTTCCCATTGATGGCCATTTAAAGTATAGCCATGCATTGTGACAAAATAAAAATTTGCAAGACATAAACCACTATAAATCACAAATATTTCATTATATTAAAGTAGATGTTGTGCCAGTGAAATGTTTCTTTTAAATGGACTTGAATTTTGTTTTGTAACTAACATCTGTTGTGATAAAAAAAATCCAGTTTTATTTTTTTGCTTTTAAATAAACTTACATTTCCATACTTAATTTCACAGGTTGATTTCATTCAAGCACTTTGTGGTTACGTTGCATTTGTTGATTATGCATGTTTTTTATTTTAAAAGTTTATGATTTTTTTTTTATATTTGATTATGCTTTTAGCTATATGATGAATGCAGTATGCTCAGCTTATACCATGTTTAAATACATTCAACCAATTTTCCCAAAAAAACAACAACAAAAAAATAGATTCCAACTCATGATCTGCAGGGTAAACCTTAAAATTCTCTTTACAGATGCTGCGTTTGGAATCTCAAGACAAAGTCTGTACTTCCCTTTGCCATTAAGAAAAATGCATGTCGAGTTTAGTGAAGGAAATGCTAAAATGCCTTTGACTAACACAATAATACTAAATAAATTGTCTCCCTTCTCTGTAAACATATAATGGACTTTTTCCACTTCACTGGATATCCACCCTTGGTGACCTGATACAAATTACATTCATGCCAAGTGTCTGAAGTAAACAGTGTACAAAGGCTTATCATTTACTTTTTATGCTTCAGTATCAATAAAATCTGATAAAGCAATAAAACAATGTGGTACTAGTATTACAGTTAAATACATACTGGAGTCATCTGCAAACAAAGTTAAACATTCAATAAAAAGATATGAAGGACTTTTGTTGTCAAATGTCTGTACAGCCTTTAATGGCGTTTTAAAAACTAGATTGTTATAAAATGGAAAAATTACTGCTTTCAGTGGATATGTCTGTAAACGTATTAATAGGCCAAGCGCACACACACACACATACAGTAAATAATCCAGTAAATGCTTCTCACACAGAGATATACTGCCATCATGACACTGAACTTCTACCAGTTTTCTCAGTACAGAGGTTATTGAGAAATACTTCCCTTTCTCATATAAACCCTGCCTGTCACGTAAATACCTCCCATTTGCCTGCAATGTGAACCCCTAAACAGGAAAAGATTTTAAAAAGCAAATCCAAGCCGAAACAATAACAACATTCAAACAGGAAAACCGGTTTCAAACCTGAAGATTTATGTACTTCTTTATGTACTATCTTTAAAATGTAAATGCAGTTCTCTGAATACCGTTCATGATTTATTAGGTTCTCTGTTCAGATCTTGTTGGATACTGGAGCAGTAATACCCTTCCTCCATTTTCAAAAAGTGGAAGTGGATCAGCAGTCACAAATTGCACTGAGTTCCAGTACCATTTTAAAATGATCATGATAGGCAGAACTGTTGGAAAGACATGCTTGCTGAGGCTCTACATAGAGGGCCTGTATCTGGAGAGCACAGGTGCTACCATTGAAGTGGACTTGAGCAATCACATCCTAGAGATGGATCCTGGGGTGAGAGTACAAATACAGATTGTGGATACACCCAGTCAGGAATGGATTGGGTAAGCAGAGAGAATATATAACATCTGCATGCTCTTCAAAATGTCTTTAACTTGTTCTCAAAAACAAGTTTTCCCCCAGCAGGTATTTTACCAGAAGACTTAATTTTGGATATGCAATACAGTTAAATTACATTTTATGACATTGGATACTGTAAAATTGAAGTCTTTTGGTGTGTTGGTTAACTCTGGAATCTATTTGCAATGTTTCCAAGTCTTTTGAAATCATACAGTTTTGTGTGAGAAACAGATTAAAATTTGTATTTTTATTTTGCCATGCTGAATGTGTTTTTCCTTCATTTTTAGATCTTTAAAAATCACTTAAAAGCACTTAACATCATGCACAATGCGATGGAACTTTCCTTTTCAGGAATATTATGGACCAGATCTTCCCTCGCTTGATGCCAGCTGGATGCCTGCTGGTGTTTGACCTGGTCTTTCAGCTACGTTAAGTATTGCCATGTAGAGATGTGCAAGACTGTGAATCCATACACTGTGTTCTACGTACTTGTGGGACACAAGTGTGCCAGAAAAGAGTGAGAAGTTAATCAAGATGAAGTAGAACATTTAGCAAATGAATTGGGAGTGGCATATCTGCCAAAACCGGCCACAATGTGGCAGACGTTTTTGAACTGTTGACCCGGCGCATTTATCAGGGCTATCTGAGTGGAGAGATGAGCGTGTGTCCAGGACAGGGCAAGATCCATGACTATAATCCAGCTGAAAATAATACCACAACAAGTAACAACAACAAGTGCTACAAAATCAAAAATATTTCATTATATTATAGTGCCAGTGACTCATTTCTGATTTCGCTGCTTGATGCTTATAACTATGTTTGAAAAAATTATAGAATCTTTATCAAATAAACTTTTCATGACATTTTCATACCTAATTCCACATGCTGATTTAAATGCTTTGTGGCTATTTTGCATACACACTTATTTATATTTTGTATTAATTATTTTTTTGTTGCTTATTATTCATTTTTATTAAATATTTAACTCGTTTAATTTTGCTTTTAGTTACTATAATGAATGTGGTGGTACTCAGCTTTTACCAAGTTTAAATACATTGCACAGATATTTCAATCAAAATAAGAGCAGAAAATACAAAAAGCCAGCATATCATAGTCACGAGCTGTAGTAAAGCTTGAACTTCCTTTTACAGATGCTGGTTGCGTTCCATAATAATATAAGGTTAGTTTTAGATTTACTTGATTATAGTGAAGTGTTTCAAGAGAGTGGGTTTCTGATTTTTTTAGATTTTTATCAAGCTTTTGATGTCGTAGAGCATCCATTTATTTTGAAAACCTTACAGCATTTTGGTTTTGGAGTAAGATTCATACATTTAATTGAAATGTTATATAATGGAATAAATAGCTCTGTAGCACTTGGTCATGGAACCTGCACAAGATTTCCAATTAAAAGGGGGATTCGTCAGGGATGTGGCAGCTCACCATTATTGTTTATAATGGTTGCTGAGCTGTTATCTATATTGATCAAAAATAATGGTTTAACAGCGTTGGATAGGCAAATAATTATAAGTCAGTTTGCTGACGATACAACGTTGTTTCTTAAAAATGAACAACAAATTCCACTAGCTTTACACTAGATCAACCGGTTTTCTAAAGCTTCAGGGCTTTATTTGAACCTAAAGAAATGTGAAATGTTAACTTTACATGAGTTTCCTTTACAGACATTATTTAATATACAAATTAAAAAGGAAGTTAAATATTTGGGAATTACAATTTCTAAAGATAGAGAAATAATGGAGAATAAAAATGTATTGAATAACATAGATAAATGTAAATCCACTCTGAACAGATGGTTGCAGAGGGATCTTACAATCTTTGGAAGGGTTCTTTTGTCTAAAATGAATGGTTTGTTCAGACTTATCTACCCAGCCTTCTCCTTGCCCATATCGACAAGAATGTTTAAATTAATAAATAAGGTGACTTTTAAATTTATCTGAAATGTCACTACATAAGAAATGAAGATATGATTAAAAAAGATGAAGACGGTGGTGTGAATGCGATCGATTTTGATATTATGAATGGTGTTCTGAAATTGAAATGGTTAAAATCCTTCATTCAAAATAGCAGTTCTTTTTGGTTTATTGTCCCCAGTGCAATTTTTAACAAACTGGGAGGAATAAAAATTTTTCTACGTTGTGATTTGGAGTGTACCTCGTTACCAGTTAAACTTTCAGCTTTCCATCAGCAAGTGCTGCTCTATTGGAAATGATTGTTCAAACATAACTTCACACCTCACAACACTCCAGTTTGGAATAATAGATATATAAAGATAGGCAGAAAGTCAGTATATTTTGAGGAATGGAAATACAAAGGGATTTGGGCGATTGCCCATTTCTTGGATGATAATGGAAATCTGTTACTGTATAGAGAATTCTGTGAAAAATTCCAACTGCAGTGTTCTGTTAATACTTATAATAGAATAATTAGAGCCATTCCAATTGCTGTAAGATTAGTTAAAGAAGACATTTTGTACTCCAAAGTCTCCTCAGAACTGAGACAGCTCTCCTTAGAAGGTTATGATTTTTGAGATTAAAAAAAAAAAAAAGTACAAATAGAGTCATTAGAGATTTTCTTTTATAGGCCTATTATCCTAACCCTATTAGAAGGGAATACATGCTCAAAGATTTTGATATTATGGAAAGTAAAACAATTTGGAAAAGCTATATATCTTTTCCTCTTCCTCCTAAAGTTAAGGAGGTGAACTTAATTCATTGGTAGGATAAATCTAATTAAAAATTTTGAAGACTGAAATTTAATTTGGATGTGAATAATTGTGTTTTTTGTGAAACGAATATTGAAAATCTAGAGCATGTTTTCTTTTGTTGTGATTTGGTGCAACTTTTCTGGAGAGATGTACAGAACTGGCTACAGTCTAGAGAGGTTGATCTCCCACCCCTTACCATGAAGTTAATTAGGTTTGGTATTTCTCTGGAAAACAAAGAGTTGGATTTTTTTATTAATTTCTTGCTTTTTCTTGGAAAGTTTTTCATTCATAAATGTAGATGGTTTAAATCTAAACCCAACTTTAACCAGTGGATGAATGAGGTTAAAATGTTGTGCAAATCTTTAGAATTGGTTAAATGTGATTTGGTGCAACTTTTCTGGAGAGATGTACAGAACTGGCTACAGTCTAGAGAGGTTGATCTCCCACCCCTTACCATGAAGTTAATTAGGTTTGGTATTTGTCTGGAAAACAAAGAGTTGGATTTTTTTATTAATTTCTTGCTTTTTCTTGGAAAGTTTTTCATTCATAAATGTAGATGGTTTAAATCTAAACCCAACTTTAACCAGTGGATGAATGAGGTTAAAATGTTGTGCAAATCTTTAGAATTGGTTAAAAACAAGAAAGCTCTCAAATTGATTTCGTTTTTGGGGCATGCATAAACTAATGTAAAAAGCCCCTTTTGGTTTGTTTTATTTATTTCTTTTCTTCTTTATTATTATTGTTTGTCACTGGTTATGCTCAACCTAAGGCTGTTCACGTGTTGTTAGATTATGTGATGTGTTTATGTACCTTGTTTGTTTGTTGTAAATGGAAGCATAATAAAAGAAAAATATATATATATATATAAAAAAGATGCTGGTTGCGTTTTCATTGTCATAGGAAAAGATTGTACGTTCCCTAGTGGCCATCGAGAAAAAATGCATGTCATTTCAAACTGGTTTAGTGAAGGGAATGCTACAAAAATGCACAGCTTACATATTATTAGACATTTAAAAGAAGCTGTAAGGAGTCGTGAGAAAAATTTTCACGTTTTAATGGTCATTTTAGTCTTTTAGACTACCATAATAATACTATATTACGTCTTATATCTGCTTTCTCTCTCTGTGAGTAAATAATGAACATTTATTCTGCTTCATTGGATCCCCACCCTTGCTGTTCTGGTATGAATTACTTTCATTATAACTATAAAAAGTGTCTGAATAGGCTCAGCGTGCATAGGCCTATCAGTGGCTTTTTAGGCTTCTGTATATACAAAGACTAATAGCAGTAACACATTGTTGATATCATTAAAATTAAAGGTCCACTGGATTTACAAAGTAGTCCACTAAACTAAATGATCTTAAAACAAAGTGAAAAACTCTATTTATAGCCCAAGCCGACACCAGCCTAAACTGTCTGTCTCTCTGTGTCCTTAGGGAGTCTGTTCCATTGTTGTTCACCTCCTGTTTGGAAAGCCACATAATTGTGGAAACGTTTTGTAGCAAACTAACCTGTAATGCACACTGGTGAGGAGTATAGTGTGGGCTTGATTTCATCATGACATTGGAAGTCTTCCAGCCATCTTCAGAGGTTTTGACCTGGGTAGAAGCATTCTCATGGTTGGCCTATTGAGAAAGACTTAGCTGAAATGTTTTTCCTCATTACAAGTGCTTTTATGTGATGCATGCCATGAGCTGGCCTCAACAGGAAATACTGGGCTTGTTCTGATATGATACTGCATGCTTGTTCCCTCTGGTCGCTGAGAAATTCCTAACTTTCTGCTAGTATTTATAAACTCCGCCTCTCACATAAACCCCGCCCAATAACAAGTATGAACAGGCAAAGATTAAAAAAACAGATGAACTAGACAGAAGCTCTCACCCCTACGACGTTCAAACAACCTCCTGTTTGGAAAGCCACATAACTGTGGAAACGTTTTGTAGCAAACTAACCTGTAATGCACACTGGTGAGGAGTATAGTGTGGGCTTGATTTCATCATGACATTGGAAGTCTTCCAGCCATCTTCAGAGGTTTTGACCTGGGTGGAAGCATTCTCATGGTTGGCCTATTGAGAAAGACTTAGCTGAAATGTTTTTCCTCATTACAAGTGCTTTTATGTGATGCATGCCATGAGCTGGCCTCAACAGGAAATACTGGGCTTGTTCTGATATGATACTGCATGCTTGTTCCCTCTGGTCGCTGAGAAATTCCTAACTTTCTGCTAGTATTTATAAACTCCGCCTCTCACATAAACCCCGCCCAATAACAAGTATGAACAGGCAAAGATTAAAAAAACAGATGAAGCTCTCACCCCTACGACGTTCAAACAGACGCTGCCCTTTGCAGAACAACACAGGAGAACCTGAGGAACTATGGGTTTATTTCTACTTATGTTTACAATGAGAACTTCAAGACCTCTAAGGTAAGGGGTTCTCTGGTCAAATCTCTGAGGATCCTGGCGGAGTGACAGTCTTTAGTCAACCCTAGTCTTTTTATTCGCCCCATTCGTCTGGTTGAAGTCATGGCTCTCACTTTGTGGCAGTACCAGTTTCGAATAATCATGTTAGGAGACTCCACAGTGGGCAAATCATCCTTGTTGAAGCGTTACACAGAAGATCTGTTTCTGGAGTGCATCAACCAAACAGTCGGAGTGGACTTCTATGTACACTTCCTAGAGGTGGAACCTGGGGTGAGGGTTAAACTTCAGTTCTGGGATACAGCTGGTCAAGAGAGGTTTAGGTAAGTCCAAACATTTCAACTGTTCTACCATGGATTGAACAAATAGTGTTCTCCCAAATCAAATACCTAAGGTCGGGGTGTCCAATCCTGCTACCGGAGGGCCAATGTCCTGAAAAGTTTAGCTCCAACTCGCCCCAACACACCTGTCTGTTTCTTGTAATCCTGAAGACCTTGATTACCATGTGTGTTTATTTGGGGTTAAAGCTAAACTGTGCAGAAAAGTGTCCCTACAGAAGCAAGATTGGACAGTCCTGTTTAAGTTGAACAATCAACAACAAGAAGGACTATTTTCCCCTTAAAGTAACTTCTGTATGTTTATTCATAAGCTCAGCGTCTAAAAACAGTTTGAAGAAGTTGCCTTGCTTCTGAAAAACAGGATTGTGAAACATATTTGTGAAACAAATATTTGCATGATACTTCCAGGAAGTATTTTGTCAGTCTACACTAAAAATGGATTCACTGTCAGGCCTGGCTCCACGGGTGGGTGTTTTGGTCTTGATCCACTTAATTGGCCCACCCTGGCAATCATGCCAACTGTTCAGCCCACCCGGAGAGAACTATGGTCCATCTGACTTCTTAGAGCTCGAGTTGGGCCTGTTTTCAAGGGTATACATGGATGACTTTAAACAGACAGCTCACCAAAATGTGAAACTTATGTCATCATTTACTCACCCTCATGTCATTCCAAAGTCTCGTGGGAGGCAAGCCTTGTGACGAGGTGAAGGAGGCAAATAAAATACATTATTTGTTTTAAGGTATCATGGTACCAGTTCACTCATTTTACTACACTCTTAATAATAAAGGTTCCAAAAGAATGTTTTTGACAGCAAATTCATATTATATAAGAACCATTTTGGGTTCCCCAAAGAACATTTCAGTGAACAGTTCCATTGTTTTCTTAGTGTGAAGAATTTTTTTTTCCTATAGACCCTTTTGTGCAATGGAAAGGTTCCATGTATGTTTAAAGTTTCGTTATTTAATGCTATTTGAGGATAATAAATAATAAGAAATGACATTTCTGCCACAGTTCATGTAAGAATTTATTGCTGATTTTACGTTATTTAAATGTGAGTTTGACAAGCAGTTTTTGCAATTTTAGCATTTCCCCATTCAAGTAAAAAGGAGTTGGTCTTGCATGCCTGAAATAGTTGGAGGGCATTGCATTTATAAATGCAGAGTGAACTGACTTACCTTTAAAAGGACCTTGGAATGATACAGATTATCCAATGAGAAAGAACATAAGAGCAATTGGATTTTATCCATCGGAAATTGATTGTTTTGAAAAAAGAAGTCGTTATGTACTAAAATAGAGCCATAATGTAATACAATGTATAAACAGATTATTGATTATCATAGTAAAGAGGTAAAAAAATAACCCTAAAACTATGGTATGTTTCAGGTCTGTGACTCGCTCCTACTACCGTAACTCAATCGGAGGTCTTCTGGTGTTCGATCTGGGCAACCGCAAATCTTTCGAAAAAGTGCAGCAGTGGTATGCAGAGGTGTGCGAACGTGTACAACCCTACACTGTGCTCTTTGTGCTGGTGGGACACAAAAGTGACCAGGTCAAAGCTGGGGAGCGAGCCGTGGACCGAACTGAGGCAGAAAAGCTTGCAAGCCAATTGGGAGCACCGTACATCGAGGCCTCAGCCAAAACAGGTCACAATGTGAAAGAGGCCTTTGAACTCTTGACCCAGCGGGTTTATCAGGGCTTAAAATGTGGAGAGATCCAGTTGCGTGATGGGTGGGATGGAGTCAAGAGCTCAGCACTTACAGCCCAAACACTCGAGAGGAAACAAAACAATGAAGCCGCTGAGAAAAACAAGAGCTGTGCTTGTTAACTTACAATATGTGGTTCTCGCAACCTTTGAGTGCAGATCATCAAATAGGACGGATCGGTCTGACGTTGCCAAATATACATAAAAGCAAATGTCAAGGTCTTTCAGATTGTAGGTATGAAATTTGATCATCAGCCGGAACTTTCATAACAGCATGGATAATTTGTGCTTATCTGCAAGTTTTCAGCATTTGCAAACCACACTGAAACTCTTGTTTAATGGCATATACATACATGTGTACATTTGATTTCCAGTTGTTTGTTCAAATTTCTGGACTCAACTTTGGATAAAGGTGTCTTTAGTAGTGTGGCAACAATGTTACGGCATCAGTTGAATATTTTAACTGCTATTCATCCAATTACGTTCATTGCCATGCATTTGGCCACATATTTCCATAAACATGGTTGTATATTTGCTGATACAGAAAGGGCTGCCTGAAATTTATAGCTCTGCCTGTAATTCATAATTGCACGTGATTCTGGAGGTATGAAAGATGTAGAAGTAATTAACTAAAATATTACATTTACACACAATGGGAGTTTAGATATTCATTTGCCACAGTCTAGACACAATGCCGAAATAGTTTGTTAATTGTTATTTCTGAAATTATGTCCAACACAACCCGAGTGAGAATTTCAGTGAGAATAAATCACAATAAGTCTTTTTTATTCATGAAAAACAAGAGACTTGAGTTGAATTACTGAAATAAATGAACTTTTCCACAACATTCAAATTTATTGAGATGCACCTGAACATGGATGCATTGCTGAAACAGTTTATGTTAGTTGTAATTTATGAAATGATGTCCCACAAAAGCTGAGTGAGTTCAGTCTGAATAAATCACAATTAGTTGTTTTTTATTCATGAAAAACAAGAGACTGTAAAACACTGTGATACATGGCAAAAAAAAAAAGTTTATACTCCGTTTAACTCCACAGAAATGTTCAAATCTGCCCACAAACCCACAGCAGAAGGGGTTTATGCACCATTTCCTATACATCACACATATATCACTCTCTAACCAATTAGCCAATCTGCATTATGTCACTAGTTCCAATGCAATTAATTAAATAGGGAAGTGGTATTTATTTCTCTGGTAAAAGTGACTGCTTACCTTTAGAAAGTCACACACTAAAGATTTCCTCTATAGTACTAAATATTACTTAAGTGATGAGTTCTATAACACCGAACACTATGAACAAATCAGACACATGGTGATTGTAATTGTGCATAGCTATTAATGCTAGCTGAGCAAAAGTTGTGTGACTGCATGACGGGTCAGCTATACATGAAATATGAATGAAAATGTGGTTTGTGGGAGAAACAATAAACAATTGATGTTTTTCACAGGAGTCTGTGAGATTCTATAATATAATAAACCCCAGTATAGCACCAAGCCAGAGACTAAAGTGCCCAAATAAAATGTTCACATGGTGGTTTTAACATCACTTAACGTCACTTCCTACGCGAAATGTCAACAGAACCGTACTGTAAATAGTTCAACGCATTCTGCCTCTCTGATTAACATAACATATATAGGTTCAATCCCTCTCCATTTCCAAAACTTGCAGGAAAAAAAAATGTTTGTTGGTGCTTCCAATCTTGCTACTTTTTGGTTGTTTTGCGGATCAATGCCATTCTCTGAAAGAAAAGAAAACGATATTTCGATATGCAAGTCATTTGTTTTTCATAATATCAGTTGAAGTGCACGAGAACGATAGCTGACCTGTTTGTGAGCTTCTGTGGTGCAAGCCTTCTTATACGGTCGGATCTCATCTGAGCCAAAACCAGGAATCCACATGTTCCACTGTCGTTCTGTAATACAATGTTGGATTATGGACTATATTAACACAGTTCTTCAGATAGACATTCAAACAGTCTGCAATTGGCCTTGATTTAACCATTTATAAGGTACATAATGTAAACTGTTATTTTTATTTTCTATAATATTAATGGTAATAAATTAAAATGTAAAAACACCAAGTTCAACATAGAGGGACACATTAAAGTTAAAGTGAGTTCACTTCCAGAATAAAAATGTCCTGATAATTTACTCACCCCCGTGTCATCCAAGATGTTCAAATCTTTCGGTCTTCAGTCGCAAAGAAATGTAGTTTTTTGAGGAAAACATTCCAGGATATTTCTCCATATAATAATCTATATAAGGAATAATGGCCTTATCTAGTGGAAAAAAATAAAAATGTATATACTTTTGAACCACAAATGCTCATCTTGCACAAGCTCCACGATGTGTGTCCGCAAATTCACGCATTACGTAATCACACTGGAAAGGTCATGCGCGGTTAGCACTTTGTCTGTGTACTCCGGTTCAAAAAGGTAGGGTAGGGCGAAAAACTCCATCTCATTTTCTCCTCCAACATCAAAATCATTTTTGCACGTTCGCTTTGTAAGCACTTCCATCTACGTCACGTGTGACCTTTCCAACGTGACTACGTAATGCGTGAGGTCAAGCTAGTGTAAGACGAGCATTTGTGGTTAAAAAGTATATACATTTTTATTTGTTTAAGAAAATGACAGATCGTTTCGCTAGATAAGACCCTTATTCCTCGGCTGGGATCGCGTTGAAGCTGCATTGAAACCGCAATTTGGACCTTCAACCCGTTGGCCACCATTGAAGTCTATTATATGAAGAAAAATCCTGGAATGTTTTCCTCAAAATCCTTAACTTCTTTGCGACTAAAGAAAGACACAAACATCTTGGATGACATGGGGGTGTGTAAATTAGCAGGACATTTTTTTTCTGGAAGTGAACTAATCCTTTAAAATGAAAATGTGTGTATTTATTTAAATTCATAAAAAAAGCACTCAAACCACTGAGAATTGTATATGCAAGACCCTCACCCAGGTGTAGCTGGACATCTTTCACTTCAAGAGTGTTTGACTTCCTGTGTCGGGAGAGTTGGCACGCCGCGGTCACCACACTCTCAATGAAGTCATCGGCAATCTGCAAGAGCATCTGAAGGGAAGGGAAATGACTCGTATCAACAGAATATAGTAACACTACTTGGGGTAGGGTTTGGTAAGATTTTGGCTGTTTTAGGACGAAGTCTCTCGTACTCAGAGACTGCATTTATTTGATACAGTAAAAATAGTAATATTGTAAAATATTTTTCTGCTTAAAGGGGTCCTTGATTATGATTTCACTTTTTAAAATTAGTTAAGTGTGTAATGTTTCTGTTTGAGCATAAACAACATCTGCAAAGTTACGATGCTCAAACTTCAATGCAACGGGAGATATTTTGCATCCTTGTTGAAAAAACGTATTATAATGATAAATAATAAAAAAATATAAAGTAATGCTCTAATTTTTAATGTTCAAAATGGATAACTAAGGAACCATATCAATAATAAGAGTAATACGTACCTCCTCCACATCTTCATCGAGTTGCTCATTAGGGTCAATTTCTCTCACAAGATCCTGCAGTTTCTTCTTACTAAGCACCTGTGCGGAGGATATTAGATCATAAATGTAACAAATACAAATAGAGGCAAAGTCTAAAACATTTGAATTGCTTGCGGTCTCACCTGAGTGCCTTCAGGGCTCAGTCTCCCTGCAGGTCCAGGGGTGCCTGGAACTTTCCCGGGGACGACGGTGCTGTTGGCCATGTTGGTGGAGATGGGTGGTGTTGAAGAGGCTTCTGCTTTCACAACAGTGAAGAAGTTAGAGCGACTAGTCTGTGGTGGGTACTGGGTCATACTATGCTAGTCAAGAGATATCTGTCACGAGCCTCTTCAAAACCAGAGGTATGTTCAGCTGCAAAAACATTAAAAAAAAGTGTAAGTATTCATAAATATTTTAGAGTCACTCAATACACAGCTCACTAGGAAAAACATCACAGAACTGTCATCTGCTCTACAGACTAATGACTTTAGCTTTTTAGCTTCGCTGATGTTTTCTGACATTATCAGCTTAAACTACCGGGGCAAAAGCGGATGTAATACTGATATTAGTAAATGTAGTAATGTAAATTAACAAATAAATCATGTTTTGTCTGAATGTTTTCGCGGTTGCTATAATTCATCACCACATATATCAATTTCAGCTTAGCATATTAGCAGCTATCATGTAAACATTTGTGTCAATCCACGTCTCGCGATGCTTTCCTTTTGTTTTATATAATCCTGTCAGGTGATGAATTAGTGTAGTACCTGATCCAAATAATTCTGTATTATCTTCCCATCTTCAACATTTATAAACTGGAAATATTCAAAAGCCCATATAAGTTGATGATGTTATTCCTTCTACAGGCGCCTCTTCCGACTGGCGAACGGAGCTCTGGTGAATTATCGCGAGATCTCCGGGAATGGGGAATTCTGGGTGGTACTGCACTCCGACAAAATAAGTGTGATCTGTCGTGACAGAAGAAACAAGCTGAAGCAAATACAGACTATTTCTCCAGACAGGTTCAGATATTGGAGAATATCTGACCTTCAAGTTCAATGATCTCCATTCGCTCCCCTTCCAGGTCCTGACCCACAAATCGAAAACCTCTATCCTCAAAGTGGTGCTTCAATTCTGGATTCACCTAGAAAAATCCAAAAGAAACTCATTAACTTTTGTTAAGGGGAGGGCTTTTGTTAATATTAGGAAGTTATTTTGTTAATATTAAGTGAACCTCAAAGCGATGTCGATGCCTTTCGTCCACATATTCAGCATCTCCATACAGCTTTCCTACAACAAAACAATTCAAATATCATTCAAATCTAAAACCTTTAAATACAGTACCAGTTTTTAATTTTGTGATAAGTGACTTTAAGGTTACTGTGGCACAAAATATCACAACTTACGAAGAACGCTGGAGGTGCTTTTGAACAAAGTGCGTCTTTTTCCCAACCGCATGGTTCCTCCCAACTGCCCAGGATTGTGCTCGGGCATTTCAATCACCTGATAACACAAACACATCTCATCACACCACAAGAAAAATAATCATAATGCAGATATGCTAATTTGTTTTACCAAAACATTACCTACCACTGGATGTTTTGTTTCAGGGTCAAATTCTGTAGAATTGGCATCTGTTAAGAGGAATGAAGTTCAAATAAAAACACTTTAAAAGCATGTGCGAAGTTTGATTTAAAAGAAATATCATAAAATCTGGTATGGGTGTTCTTACCTTCCCAGCCAAGTACATTACGAGCAAATTCACATACTGCCAGCTGCATCCCCAAACAAACACCTGCCAAACGAGATTTAGATTGATTTCAAATGTAACACTACATAACACTGCCAGTTTTCAGGATTGTGCTCGGGCATTTCAATCACCTGATAACACAAACACATCTCATCACACCACAAGAAAAATAATCATAATGCAGATATGCTAATTTGTTTTACCAAAACATTACCTACCACTGGATGTTTTGTTTCAGGGTCAAATTCTGTAGAATTGGCATCTGTTAAGAGGAATGAAGTTCAAATAAAAACACTTTAAAAGCATGTGCGAAGTTTGATTTAAAAGAAATATCATAAAATCTGGTATGGGTGTTCTTACCTTCCCAGCCAAGTACATTACGAGCAAATTCACATACTGCCAGCTGCATCCCCAAACAAACACCTGCCAAACGAGATTTAGATTGATTTCAAATGTAACCACAGGCATGCTGTCAAAATAACACTACATAACACTGCCAGTTTTTTGAATAGAATTTGTTACCTAAAAATGGCTTTTTCTGTCTCCTCGCCCAGTTAATGGCTTGGATTTTTCCCTCAGTGCCTCGCACACCAAAGCCTCCAGGAACAAGAACCCCACTAATAGCCCATTGAAATAATCAAATAAACATTCGATCAATAAATATTCAAAGTGAATGGCAGTTTGTAAACTATTGTACATCCATAATGTGACATATGCTGTGCTGCTTAATATTTTTGTGAAAACCATGATACATTTTCAAGAATCTTTGATAAATAGAAAAGCAGGACCTGTTTTTATCCATCGAGTATTGATTACACTGAAAAAGTGGAGCGTTATATGCCAGAATGAAGCCAGAACAAATTAAAGTTAGCTATTTGGATATTGGTTAACGTTATCCAAGAGCCCACAGAGCTGAAATAACACCATCTGAATAAAACGTATAATTGAAATGTTCTCTGTTGATGGACAAAACAGAGTTTATGTTGTTAGTCACATTGGTTTCCGGTGTTTTTGAGGGTACACTCACTCAGCCCTGCAGAGCTTCTGCCAGGCCTCATGGTACTTCACCGGCTCCTCCTGCAACGCTGCTGGCTCCAGGTCTGCCGAATCAATGTACTGAAATGAAGGCATTTATTTATCACTCATTAAGCATTTATTTGACCAAAAATACAGTAATATTGTGAAATATGCAAAAATTCCAATTAAATTCGAAAGACACTCTCAGA